GCATGCGAAATGCCTGTATTAGGTCACTGCACAGCTGTCTGTGATCCAGAGGAAATAAGTCAAGATTGGTTAGTCGTATCTCATAAGAAAGGTACGCTTGGCCTCGCACTAACTTAGTTGCCCGTCGTTGTACCCTTACAAAGGTTTTTCTGTCTTTCACTGTCCAAGGTTTCCAGACTTGTATGGAAAACTCCAATGGAGGTCGTACAAACGTTCCAAAGACCTTACCAAAGCATATTTCGTCGAACTTTGCAAAAGCGCGCTTAATGAGATACAAGGTGAATATTTTAGATTTGGCCACCTTCAATCAGTAGAGTTATGGCTTAAATGAGGGCATGAAACACACTCCCAGATCTTTCTGGGTCTCTACTTCTGGCAACGGCGTGCGATTTAGGTTGTACACCCTCCGATACGAAGAGTTGGAACTACCGAAGCGCATAATGTTGCATTTGGCGACGGTAAACGACAGGAGCCACTTGTTTGACCATTACTCGAGTCGGTGCAAATTTACCTGCAGATTTGCTTCGTCGTCTTCGTCACGGATGACTTTCCAGAGTTTTAAATCGTCGGCGAAAATTGCGGTTTTGCAGTCTAATCCACTTATGCAGTCGTCGATATATAAGGAAGAGGATAGGGCCGAGAAGGGAACTCTGGGGAACCCCACTACCAACCGCCACCGCCACCTCCGCCGATCGCTGATCACCAAACATCAACAATAGATACACGCATTCAAGAGCAAGGGAGTCGGCAAAATCGCCTGATTCTAGACAAGGAAACGACACACGTTCAACGACACCATACGGGTGCAAAGGCGGAAGCAGTCTTGGAAGAGCGTGTGTGCGTCAGTGGGGGAGAGGGCGACCGCTGCATTTATGTGACTTCAAGAGTCAGTTCGTGTGGCAGCTGATTGGTGTGAACATTTGCTCGAAAGTGGTGTCGTGTACATATCGCCGGGGGTTAAGTGAGTTAAACCCAGGCAACTGCGATCTTCAGACCATGGTTGCTTATTAGAGAAGAAGTCGGTAAAGGCCAGAGTAGAAGGAAGATTATATTGTGTACACAAGGGAAGGGAGGATAGATGGACAGAAATTTGACTTGCAGAGCTTACGACCAGCAGGAGAGCCAGCCGCGGTCCAAGTGCCAGTTTGAGA